ACTCTTTCTTTTAACTTACCTTCGGATGTTTAGTCATGTTTATTTTGTGCTGAAGCTGGTATTAATGTGGAGGAGATGATCAGTTCACATGTGCTATGCGCTGCCGCGTCTGTTGATCTGAGGCACTACAGCGATCTGTCACTCCACATTAAACAGCGCCAAAACGGCATTTATTGTTTGAATACTGCAATACAATGGACAGAATTTTAAATCTGAGACTTTGTTTCATATTAAAAGTACCAAAGCACAATGCTTATTGCTATATATTGGATGGGACGTTCCGTTAAAGGCAACATTCCGTCCAATCACTGAACACAGGCTAGACTAATCGATTCTCGGGATTTAAGAATCGATATCGTTCCGTAAAAATGAGAATCGATTAATATCGAGATATCGATTTTTTTACCCAGCCCTACAAAAACAGTTATAGACAAAAACAGTTACTGAGGGGGGGGATTAAAACAAGAAATTTCTTGACTTGTAGTCATTTTAATGCTTGTTTTGTCTTATTTTGAGGCCCTCTGGTGGAGAAGTGCTGTTTTAGAGAGAGAGTCTGGCTCACCTCTTTGTGACAGTCTTTATGGGCCTCCAGGGTTTTCATGATGGTGAGTTCTGCGTAGTTCTTGAAGCGCGCCGGTTGGCTGCGCATGATCTCCTTCAGGACACGCAGCGCCAGTGCTCGGATAGTGTGCTGCGGACACAACCATCATCACGTTCTTTAGCTGCATCTGTGCTGTTAGATTTCTGACTATTAGCATAATTTCTATGTGAGTGTGCGATGAAGTCGAGTGCGTCTCTCACGTCTCTGTCTCCCAGCGTCTCCAGCAGCAGCAGCAGCATGGTTTTGAAATGCTCCTCCCACACAGCCAGACTGTCGTCACGCGTGACCTTCAGCAGCTCCAGCAGACCGACCCGCCTCTCCTCCACACGCTCGCTGTGATTGGACAGCTCCTTCAGCAGCTCACCAAACATCTCCAGGTGCTGCCTGGGTCCTGACCAATCAGAGACAGCAACATTCTGAACATTTATGCATCTGTATCAATCACTGAAGCATAATGGAATCATTAAATTCAGCAAAGGCTTTTACTATTTAGCTTTTAGCATCAGCTTTTACAGCAGCCTTATACTTTAACAAATCATTAAAAAAAAAGTATTTATAGAAAATCGTCAATAATACGTTTTAAAGCCTGAACTAAATCTGAACTGTTTTGAAATGTTCATACATTATCATTGGCAGGGTTTTTAACCCTGACGCTAAACTAAAACTAAAACCATTAAAATAATAATAATAATAATAAAATAAAGTTGTTGTTTTTTTTGTTTTTTGTTTTTTAATTAAAATTATTTTATTTCAGCTTTCGACATTTCTCATTTTTGTTTAGTTTAACTTGAAGTACTAAAATAACTGACACTAAATAAATAATAAATACTATATAGGCATTAAAAAAAAACGACAAAAACACAGCAAAATGACTAAGAATGAAAACAGAAAATAATGAATACATAAAATAAATTAAACCTACATAGTAATATTTAAAACACAAAAACTAATAAAATAACATGACAAAAATACTAAACTTTAAACTAAAATGAAAACAGAAAATACTAAATAAATAAATGGATTAATTAAACCTAAATACCAATATTTAAAACAGAAAAACTAATAAAAACACTACAACAAAATTAATAAAAAATTAAAATGCAAACACAAAATAATAAATAAATAAAAACTTAAATAGTAATATAAAAAATAAAAAAATAATAATAAATATAACATGACAAAAATGCTAAACTTTAAACTAAAATGAAAACAGAAAATAATAAATAAATATAACCTAAATAGTAATATTTAAAACAAAAATACTCATAAAAACAGCACAACAAAATTAATAAAAATACTAAACTAAAATTAAAATTCAAACAAAAAATAATACATAAATATAACCTAAATAGTAATATTTAAAACACAAAATTACTACAAATTAAACAAAAATTAAAAAAAGAAAATGTACTTCAAAATATTAACAAACTCTATAATAGTATATCAGTGATGCTAAAATAACACTTATCTACGGAGATGTTTATTTACAGAAGTTGACTTTTGCTCTTTTCAAACAGTTTAAAACCTCCTCATACCTGCAGAAAAACCTTTCGAATGCATGATTTTGTTTTCTCCGCAGTCCTGTGGATGATCTGAAAGAGAAACCCAAAGACGCTGGCCTGTTTCTGTGAACTTGATAAAGTGATTCTTCCGTTGATGTGTTTATTCATTTACCGTCTCGGATGTGCTCCACGTCGTCAAACACGGCGAGAGCTCCTTTCTCGTAGGCGCTGATGGAGTCGCTGTAGTTGTATGGGTTGTATTCGCGAGCCCACGATCGAGGGGACGGTGTGTTTAATAATGACGTCTTGTTGTCCAGCGCTGTCCGGCCTCCCTCCATCACACCAGCGGACAGACGAGGATCCACACCGGTCTGAAAGAGAAACCTGCTAATTTAGCTTCAACCTGGTGAAAATAACATCTATTCATCAGAAAAAGTAATACACTCCATTGCAACATCATTCATATCCATTCTGGTTATATAAAGGCTGATTTATACTTCTGCGTCAACTGACGCATAGCCTACGGCATAAAGGCTACGGCGTGGGTCCGACGCAGAAGTATAAATCAGCCTTTAGATTTTTGGAGAGGTGCACGTCAGGCTACGGCATATGGGTGTGCGTCTATGCGTAAGCTACGGCGTAGGTTCAACGCAGAAGTATAAATCAGCCTTAAGATTAATCAGTTTGAGGGCAGAAAGTCAGCAGGGCTGCATTTATTTGATCAAAAATACAGTAAAAATTGTGAAATATTATTACAAATTAAATTAACTGTTTTCTATGTGAATATCTGTTTAAATGTAATTTATTCCTGTGATGCGCAGCATTTTATTTTTTCAGGATTCACAGATGAATAGAAAGTTCAAAAGAACAGCATTTATTTGAAACCGAAATCTTTTATTACATTGTAAACGTCTTTACTGTCACTTGTGATCAATGTGATGCACCCATGCTGAATAAAAGTGTTAAGTTTTGAAAAAAGAATATTAATCTTAATGAATAATCTAATATAAATATACATTAATCTTACTTGAGCGCATTAGTATCAGTGGTTCGCTGATTTTGATAGCTTATTGTATTTACTTGGCGTTTTTTTTATCATTAAAATTTGGCTGGGTGGTTAATAACACACTGTGGTGTGACAAACTCAGAACACATATTTAATATTGCTTTACATGGACTTTAATGTTTAGTATTTTGAGGCCTCAATCTTCTATTTCATATAGAAGAAGGTCTGCATATTTTTCATGCAGACCTTCTTGATCTTTGGTCAGTTTAGGTCAAGTATTCTCACGCTGGATCAGCATCTTGAAGACAGTCTTGCAGGTGGAGGTACTCACCGTATCTTCCCTCTTGCCGTCATGTTTGATGGGCTCTAGCATGTCTTCCTGACTGCGGAAACTGAAGCTCTGGATGTCTTCGGTTACACCTCTCAATGAGCTGAAGATCTCCTCTGAGTTCATGTTCTCAGTGTCGCACTCCAGACACACACACACACACACACACGGAGTGAGGCCTGACTCCATATGCATTGACTTTAACACACAACACAAGGCAGACAGACAACACACAGATGTGATGAATGCGTTTACAGCTCAGCTGCAAAGTCAAAGTGACACATCTTAAACATTTCATACAGACCGATTAACGCACAACAAACATCTGCATTTGCCATGAAGCAAAAAGTGGCGGGAACAAAAGAAATCAGATGGATGAGAGAAAGAAGGACGTCACAAAAGTAATAGAAATGTGGGACACAGACTCTCAAGCTGGGACAAATATAAAGAGAGTGCAGTTTGACCAAAATATAAGGTTTGCACATTTGCTAAACTTTTTAGGATTTTTAAAACTCTCTCCAGGCAATAACACTACAGGTGAACAGTGTAAAAAAAAAGAAGATTATTCACAGTACATTAAGACAGTTGTGCGTTACAAATTTTCTGAAATGTTTAAATATGGAAATAATGCATTATCTAATTAAATTTATACTAATTTGCATACATTTCCAGAACATTGGATAAAGCCAGGTTCATTTTTTTATTTATTTTGTTGACATATTAAAGATTTTTACAGAGGAGATTTTGGATTTCTCTTTTTATCACTCCATAAATCAGAAAATACTGTCAATAAACAGAAAAAAAAGATATTTTCACCAAATTTTTGTTATGAATAAAATGTTGTATAAAACCAGGTGAATGACATATTAACAAACCCCTCAGTAAAAACCTTCAGAATATAGAGAAGAATAAAACTCTTAAGTTTGGTGTATGTAAGTGCTGCTGAGATGGAGAAAAAACTCACAGCCTTTAAACATATGCATTTTCACCATGTTTTTAGGAAGAACATGTTCTAGAAATAAGTCTGAATGATATATGAACAAACCTCTCAGTAAAAACCTTCAGAATATAGATAGGAATAAAACTGTACATTTTGGAGTATGTAAGTGCAGCTGAAGTGACTGATAAAACTTTTTAAAGACATGTATTGTAATTGAAATCTACAGATTCAAATATATAAAAATGCAATAATAAACTCAGGTGAATGACACATGAACAAACCCCTCATTAAAAACCTTCAGAATGTAAACAGGAATAAAACTGTAAATTCTGGTGTATGTAAGTGCTGCTGAAGTGCAGGAGAAAACTATTTAAGATATGTATTGCAGCTGAAATCTACAGACGCAAATACAAATTTAATAAAATTAGCACTTAAATGTGCATTTTGGATTTTTTTCTTTCCTCTAGTTTGAAATAAGACATGTTATAGAAGAAAAATAGCAAAATTCACCAGTGCAGGAAAAACTTTTTTTGCCTGTAGTGTTTTGCCTTAAAAGGAACATTCCTGGTCCATTTAAACCCAAAACAGTCCTTTAAATGTCACGCATTGACTTTGATTTATTAGACTACCAATGAAAAAAAAAAAACAATTGTGGAGAATATTCCTGCTCTTATGCGTTAGCATTAGGGATGCGCAATATTGGATTTTTGCCGATATCCGATATGCCGATATTTTTCAACTCTTTTTGGCCGATAGTCGATGCCGATACTGATATACTTCCTTTTGTTTGGAAACAACACCAAGTCTCTCCTGTGTGGAAATTATAAGCAAATTATTTTTAATTTGGTAAGTTTTCAACAAGAACTTATTTGTTAGAATTAAATAAACAACAATGAAGTTATTTTATAATGACAGTACATTGAAGCTTTGAAAATAACTATAAATAAACTATATATCAATCGCTGCATTTTTTTTCAGAAAGATGCAGTAGTAACCTTAACATTTTATTTTAAGATTTAACATTTGTAGATAATCTAAAGCAAAAGAGTTGTAAAAATTCTGAAAATATTTTAGAGCTCATAATTTGTTTTAAAAAATATATAACATATTACACATTAATGAATAAATCAGTATAGGCTATATAAAATTAAGTGTCATGTTTGTGATTTTTTTTTTATTCATGTAAGCTATAGCTTGTGACCTTTAAATCAAAACATATTCATGATTTTATGACATCAATTACTGCTTTATTTAATCAGAAACAGTCTAAATGTTATTTGTGTATTTTACTTTCATTTTATTAAAAGCAGGCCAACAGCGCCCCCTACGGAATTAAAACTCCTATTCGAACGGGCGTTAGGACCCGGGGGAGGCTGCCACAGCTCATGCTATTACTGTTTACTCTATCATACACCGAACTCATTCTGTGCGTGCATTCTCAGTTTAAATGCATCATTCCAAAGCAGTGAATCTAATCATCATTCAGGCAAAACTTTGCTTCAAAAATGAGTCACACTGCTGACATGCAGGGCCGCTGCTGGCCAAATGGGTGCCCTAAGCAGAATAGTATTGTTGTGCCCCCTCCCCAAAATATTATG